AGGGCATGTCCTCTAAGTCCAGCACGTTCATGGCCTTCTTGGGAAGCTGCAAAGGAAGACAAACTATCCGAGCTTTCCATGATCTGGAAAGCTCTGTGCTGTTATCTGCATCCCAATGACCTGATGGTGCTGGAGACCCTGGTGCCTGGGCATTACCTGTGATCTCATGTTGCCTCAGCTCATTGTATCTGTAGGACTGTTCCAGGGGCTTGATGGAGGAGTGGTAGATCTTCCTCAACCGCTGTAGTACCCCTGCAGGGGCAGAAGCATGTGGATGGGTAAAAGGCAAACCTCACCACCCTGACTGAGTCCTTCCTGGGTAAGCTGCTGGGCATTCCCTGCAGATCTTGAGGGTGACTCAGCTGTGGATCAAGGGACTTGGCTCACAGTTGAAATCTTGGCCAAACTGATCCCAGTCACATATTTTGGTGCCCCTCCCCTGCTAATGTTTCCTGCTGGGCAGTGTCCCCATCTGCTGCTAGTCTTGCACGTGCCAACAGCTGATGGAAGGAACATCTGTTAATGCTGATTAGCACTCAACACCTGTAATCCCAAAAAGCCCTCCACCACAGTGCCAGGGACCCCTGGCATGGTCCCTAAGCTGCTCGCTAGAAGAAAGAAGCAGCTTTTTCCATAGTAGCTTTCATTGCTTTCCAGACTGCCCATGGGGCCAGCAGAAGCAAGCCTTTTAATAGCAAAGCCCAGTAAATAATTGGAATAAAAATCCCAACCCTTTATTACAAGTAGCCCCAGGCTTCTCTGGGCAGGGATGTGGCTGGCTTGGGCTTATTCACCATCTGTATCTTCCAGCCTCTCTACCCTCCTAATTCTTGTGCCCCCTTGGGGCTGTCTTTAAAATACCTTAAATATGTTAACCGAAGAGCAGCAAAAGGGCTGTTATTGAAGATAGGGTGTTGCTGGGCCTACAAGAATTAAGGTAAAAACCAAAAACGCTCTAGGGAAGGAAAATCCCATCCATGCTCTTGGTGCAGCAGAATGGTGAGGAGCCTGTCCTGCAGGGATCGCATGGACTGAAGGAGCAGGGCATACATGGCTCAGTACCACCCAGGGCCCCTCACCTGAGAAATCATCGGCAGGCTTGTCCTCGTTCAGCTTGAGGGTGCTCTCCAGGTGGGACCGGTCGCGCTTGGCTGGCTCGCTGGCATCTTCAACCTCTTCTGGAGGAAAAAGGCAAGGGGACCTGTTACTGCTGGAGGGGGGAATCCACACAGGAGCTCACACAAGCTACTGCCAGGGAGAGGGCATGGGGGAGCACACAGCCCCCGAGCCCACGGACCTGCCAGGCGCCTCGGCAGCTGCCCGTTGCCTTTGGCATGCTGCGCAGTTTCTCTTTTGCAAAGGCTCCTGGAGGCTTGGCGGAGGCTGCCAGGGCTGTGGCTGCTGGAGGAAGCACTGTGGGCAACTGCTTGGCTCTGAGGAGGGGCCGGCAAGGGAGGCGCGCCGTGTCTCTCCGGGGGGAGTAAGGGCCGGCCGCTCACAGGGAATGTGAAGGACGTGCCTGGAAGGGGCCCTAGGGCTGGGGCATAGCGTGAGCACGTGCAGCACCTGCTGCCCGATGGGGCCCCTGCCTGCCCCAGCGCTTCACCCAGCAGCTGCAGCTCCTCCAGGGCTAAGCCTTGCCTGCAGGCGTACTCTGCTCTGCCTCTGTGTCTGTCCACTCCCCCAGAAAATTACGCATTGAGCCAGAGACATGAGGATGCGTGAGGCTGGGGCTGGCTACTGAGAGACCAGTCAGCCTGACCCGTCCTGGCTGCCTCGCCTTTGCCAGTGGGATCGTTCCTTTCTGCTTCTCCCACCCCTGCCCCCATATCCGGCTGGAGCCCTCTGCATGGGGCCCTGGCTCGGGGTGGCCCTGGGGACTCCATGGTTCCATGCCAGGCCCTGGGAGGATAAGGCAGCTGCCTCTGCCTAGGGTAGGCACCCCAGTGTCCCTGAGACAGGGAGACAGAGGTGTCCTCACCCCGGAGATGCTGGCACGCCAAGGGCCCTGTGCAGCTTCAAGTGCTTTTTGATATCGGGAGCTGGGTCAGGCTTTAGTGGGGGTTTGGGAACAGGTTTGGGGACAGGTCTGCTGGCTGACTGGGCTGGGGATGCCTGGGCCAAGCGGGGTACCACCAAGCCGTGGGACTGTGTTGAGCGTCTACCGAGTGTTAGGCTGAGGAAGACCTTTTGACTTGCCAAGTAAAGCCACAGAGACCAAACTGTGTTTCCCTTCCAGCACAAATGGGAACTTTTTGAGCTGGGATGGGACATTACAGATGAAAGCAGAAAAAGACTCAGCTGGGTCCGAAGGTCGCTGCCCAACCCATGGGCCAAAGTCCACAAGTGTTTTTAGGAAATCATGGTGGGGGGTGTCCCTTTTCCTTAGCTAGCCTTTCATAGACCGAAAGTGGCCAGAGCTGGTGCTTTGGCAACTCATTGGTCTGAACCAGCTCTTCACATCTTCCCTACAAGGCAAGGGCTGGTGGACAAGAGACCCACCAGCCCGGGCAGTGTCCTGCCCGTGCACCAAGAGCCATAGAGGTCTGGAGAACTCTGAGGGTGGAGGATAAAGAACCTTTAAGAGGTCTGCAGGTGCTGAAAGGGGCCTGGGTGCTAAAAATCTTATCCATGTCCACAGCCCAGAGGAGAAATCATGGGCTTAAAGTGCAGCAAGGGAAATGTCAGTATTGCTGTGATGAGTGCCTGCATCGCAGGCGTCCACGGGCTCCTGCCTGCACCCTTGATGCCCACGGCCAGCCCAGCTGTGCAGCGGTTAGGGGCAGGCATGGGAAGCACAAGCATTAGGAGAGGGCCATGCACTAGGCGCGGTTTAATGTGCCAAGCTCAGCTCCGCTGGGGGTTGATAGTAGGTCACTGTCGCTGCTACAGCACACTGACAAGAAAAGACTCCAACCTATCTGGCCGTGCTGGGGCTCGGCAGCAGCAGGGTGGGTGCTGTGGCCAGGTGGGCTCTCCGTTTCTGCCAGCAAAGGCTTGCCTGCTGGTGGGTCTTCCACTGCTGCCGGTGGGTCTTCTGCTGCTGGTGGGTCTTCTGTCACTGCTGTGGGGTCTTCTGCTGTATCCCCACAGGGTGGGTAATGGCAGCTGGCAGGGCCATGCCCGGCTTCCCCCTTGCCAGCAGCTGCTGGTTTGCCACGGCCGTTTTTGCCAGAAGCACTGGCCACTTCCCCGTCACTCCCTTCAGCTCTGTCTTCCGGCCCCTCTGGCCCAGCACCATCTTCCTCAGACTCTTCATCCTCCTTAGACTCTCCCTCCTCCTCAGACTCTCCCTCGTCTCCATCTTCCTCAGACTCGCCATGTTCATCTTCCTCAGACTCCCCCTGCTCATCATCTTCCTCTGAGCTCTGCTCACCCTCTTCCTCTCCCCGCTCAGGAGCAGACACTGCTCTTGGCTCCTCCATTTTCTCTTCCCCAGGCTGCCCTTGCTCCTCAGAGGCTCCTTCCTTGGCACTGGGCTCCTCATCCTCCTGGGCATGGAAGCCATCCTGTGGGCCAGGCCGGTGGTTCCTTTCATGATGTGCTGCCTCAGGGGCACCCAACATGGCATCCTCCCTTGGGCCCTGTGCCTCGCCAGGCCCCTCTTGGCCCTTCTCCATGGTGGTCTCCGGCTGGCCGTCTCCTGGCCCTGGGTCCCCGCTCAGGCCACCTGCCAGCTCTTTCTCCCCCTCACCGCGTCCCTCCTCAGCCGCACCAGGCAAGGAGGTGTTGGCGGAGCCGCCATCTCGGTCCTGCTCAGAGGTGCCGTCAGCTGCCTTTTCCTCCAGCCTGGGCTCTGCGGCTGGCAAGGGGCTTTCGGCAGCGCCGTCAACATGGTCCGTGCCGGGGACGTGCAGCTCTAAACGATGAGAACAGCTCGGTCAGTCTTACCCACACCGGCATGTGGCTACCGGAGCACCCACCGGCCCCCCATCAGCGCTGGGGGGGGCCCTGGGGGAGGATTTGTGGCTGTTACCAAGAGGTTTAAACTCTTTCCTAAACCTTCTCTAGTTCCAGCTCAATTTTCTGGCCCTGTTGCAAGAAGCTGGGTGCAAAGAGGTGTTTGTGTGGGGAGCAGCGCCGATGCTAGCAGGGGGCCCTATGGCCACGCTGGCCATGGCTGCCCAGGGCCGTGGCTGCCGCCCACTGCAAAGCACTGCAGGAAGGCGGCAAAGCAGCCCTAAAAAATGG